AAACTGAAGTGCAAATAGTTCCTTTGGGATGAACACCCTTGGAATGGTGCAGGAATATGAACGGATTTCCGGAAAACATTGCAAACTACAGGAACCATTTGCGCTTCAGTTTGAGATGCAGACAACACAGACTCACCCCCAACAGCCTGTGCCTGTCTTCAACAGTGAAGGGACACAGGGCATAAAATATCCTGCAGCCAAGGAAAGCTCCATACACATTTGCACTACTCAGGTGATCCTGAGGACACAGGTTAACTTCCAAATGGCCCCAGTGACCCTCTAAATTAAAAGAATGCAGATGCATTGCATTTTAGTTCCTTTGCTATTCCTAAACATATTTGCAAAGACATTTTCAGATTCAAACTTGCAACCTCTCAAAGTAGCAGAAGTAAATGTGTTGTTCTTGCTGTTTATAATAATGCAACAATTAACTCAGTTAGCCTTAAATGAGCCCCAGTTAGCCTTAAATGAGCTCATAGTAACTTAGCACAGTTTTGTGAAGAAAACCAGCTGGTAATTAGTTTTCAGCAGATTAAAGTGATGGCTTTTGCAAAAGTATCTAAATTGAGATTGATAATAGAAGGACAGCAGAGGAATTTTAATATATTCTTGTAATGTTTCAGAATTTGGGGGTCGTAAAAAACATACACGGAGTTTGTAATGTTACATGCTCAAAGAAACTTTTCGGTGATTGTAAAATTCTCCTGCCTGAAAGGTGGGCAATGCATTCGTGCAGCTTTGCAACAACTTTTTGTTAGACCCTTAGTGTAATTGCTCTGTAATTCATAGATGGATTTTTATCCAAATTACAAGTTATTGCAGATACCACAGACTAAGTTCATAAGAACATGACTCACAGCAATATCTACCGTAATTGGGGGGGGGAGGGGGAAGACAGATAAGAGGGAGCAAATGACTAAGGCAGCCTTGCACTGAAATGATGTCCTTTTTGTACCTGTATCATGCGCTCACATGCATGTGTGAAAGAATCTGGAACTCATGATGACACTACTGAGGAAAGTGATACATCTTGTGGGGTCTCTGGTGTTACTAGCACCTGAGTGTGAATCCAGTGCAATCCAGAGATTAGAGTCTGCTCAGCTGAAGACTGAAACAAGAGCATGGCTGTGAATAATATATTTGGCCTAAATGCCATTATTTCTCTACAGGATTGATTCCTCTCATGCCATCTGCCAATTTTAGTCTTCACAGTCTCAAATAAATTTGGAGAAACTCTCATTGTGAGACCTCTTTGTAGAGTTTCTTCATCTTTTGGAATTTTCCTTAGATAAGAAAACAATCAGAAAAAAAGCTTATAGGCATTGGATAGCAAAGCGAATCTATTCTTATCTCAGAGAACAATAGAGAACAAATAGTACATGATTTTGCCAATCAGCAAACATTATCCTTTAGAGCCAGATTTAACATCTTATCTTCAGTAGGTAAACAATATGAAAAATATAGAGCTTGTAGCTTGCTGAACTTGTCCATGTGATTCCTTGCTGTTAAATTCATCCATTCGTGCGACATAGTTTCTGCTTTAATGACTGTTTAAGAAGGCTAATTTATTATCCTTTTTAATTACATGTTCCAAGTTGGTTTAACACATTTCATGTTAACTTCCTTTTGTCAGAAAAAAAACTCTTGTGACACAGAATATTGCAACATTTTGGATAGCACCCGTCAATATATTCTGTCAAAATGAATCCAGATTCTATTGAGTAATATGCTCATTTTGGCCTCTTTAAGCAAATTTTATGTTGGTATTTAAATATCATTTTATCTTTGTGGGAGTCAGGATGGAGTGATAGGTTGTTTCTCTTTGTTACTGATCTTTGATCAAACTAAATAAAGTTGATGTACATCCTCCCTTTTCGTCTTTATTGTTGGGGTTATGGACAGACACTGGCTGGCTTTTTTATCTGTTCCCAGATTCAAATGTTACAGTAGATCAAGCTTGGCAGTATAAAAGTATTTCCCCTCAGCCATATTTTAGTAGAGAGATTGTCATTTTGTTTATTGCCCCAAGATATAATAAGATTAAACTATAGAAAGTCTGTGTACCTACAGATACTGTCTGTTTTTTATTTGGCGCCTTCTCTCCAGAGGTTGCTGAAAACTTTGAAAACCTGACTTTGTTCTTAGGACTGGGACTGATGTATATTATTCATTCAGTGCCCCTGTTTTGTTTCGTTGTTTTTGCTCTCCATTAGATTATTATAGTCTGAGCTGTCAGTGTGATTCAATGTTTTTAGCTCTTTTTATTTTTTTTTCTAGTTCCATAGGCTGCCCAGAATCCACTGGAGTTAGGTGGTCAATAAGTTTAAATAAACAAATAAAATGTTGTTGCATGAAATATTCAGTATTTATTTATACATGAAAACTATCTTTGCTTGAACTATAGAACAGGTAGTCTTTTTTCCCCCAAAGCTAACCCAATTGATCAGTTCTTCCAAATTTGTCTTAGAAGAGAAAATGGCTAATTCTTTATGACTAATTTCATCACTTCTTTCCCAAAGCAGAGTAGTAGCAAATTCTTAATAGCTCAAAGATTCAATTTTGTCAAATCATTGTTTTTATCAGTCAGTTGGAGTTTCCGTAATTTAATGCTGAACTAAGCAATACTTCTTTAACTGGCGACTGACTATGTCCATGGTTATCATATTAAAATATTATAGAAAAATAGTATCATTATATTCTTAGAATGTCCTAAAGGCCTCAACTGTGTTTAATTTGATATAGTAATTAAATGTGAATAGATAATACTGTATGTAAGTAAAGCCATGATAAATAAAATCCATTTTATAAAGCTATTATTTCTTATTTATTTATTTATAATAATATTGTGGTCATACATTAAAAGGAAAAAATAGACCTGAAAGGGCCTTTAAAAGTCAAGTTTCAAAACCTCCTATCTTCTTAGCAAGGCCTCTGTTTTCCAGGAACAGTCAGAAGATCTTCCAAATGTGTCCAGTTTCTTCTATTAGGATGTCTTGCAATCCAAAAATAGCATCCGGTCATCAACTCAGAAGAATTGATGTTAACATATAGCTCTGAAAGAGTGTCCATGTACTTCTTTTGAATTTGCGAATATAGCAAATTCAAATTTGGGTTCAAGATAACAATAGCACTTAGACTTATATACCGCTTCACAGTGCTTTACCACCTTCTATAAGTGGTTTACAGAGTCAGCATATTGCCCCTAAACAATGTGGGTCCTCATTTTACCAACCTCAGATGGAAAGCTGAGATGGAAATAGTTTCCCTTCCAATTTATTCTCAAGTTTACCCTATGAACATAAATTGGAAAAATCAATATAAAATTCCGATTAAATAATTGTTGAGTTCATAGCTACCATAAACCCGTGATTTTGAGGAATTGGTGTTCATGGAAGAAAATACACGTTTAGTGTTCCTAATTTTCTTAATTATTATTTTTGAAGAACAGTTTATATATAATGCTGGGTCAGGATCTTTCATGTCACAGTTGCTGAACAAGGCACAATGACTTGGTTTATAGAGCACTCTGTGCTTAACATTATATCTGAATGAGGGCTAGCTTCCTGCTAAGGTCATTGTAAGTATATATAAGTACATCATATTTATATAGGTACAATATGATCTGTTCACCTAGATTGTTCTAAGTAGAGTTTTGTAGTTTACAGCTCCCTAAAGACATAATCAACAAAGATGATAAAATATGACTGCCAAGAAAAGCCATAAAGTTAAAAAATTAAATCCAAGACAAAAAGTATTTCATTTCTATCACAGCCAATATAATGTTACCCAGCCAGTTCCTGCACTTCGAGTATTTGTGCTTATTAGTTCTATTTCTTTGGATAGACAAAAAGTTGATATGAATAAAATATCTTCCTTTTGTCCAGATTTTCGTGAGAGAAAGTTTTTTAGCAACAAGGAAATACGGTATATTTTTATTCATCATTTGTACACCACCCATCTCACCTCAATGACTCTGGGCTGCGCACAATAAAAAAAAAATATAATACAAAAGCATAAATAAGAACAATGTTAAAAAGATTTAAAAGGTGGGGTTAGAATGTTAAAAGTTTAAAAGTTAACAAGGTAAAGAGAACAGTCTCATGAGACCAACCATCCCAGGGTTGCATATCACATTTTTGACTCCCATGCCATTTGGCAGACAGAGGTCTTAACATTCTTTCTGAAGGCCAGAAGAGTTGGGGGGGGGGGGGCTGCCTCACTTCTGGAGGTTGAGGCTCTCTTCCTGGATCCTACCAGTCAAAATTCTTTTAAAAATGGGATCTGCAACATACCCTTTCTGTCTGGCAGGGTGAGAATTAGACAATATAATTGACATTAAAAGTTGGATGTGCTGTTTAACATCGAAAGAAATGAATGCTGAATCAACTAAAAGTCATTGCAACGTGATCAAAATTAGTTTGATCTCACTGTGTCTTTGCATCTGAGTGAGTGTCTATGAAAGGAGATGAGTGAAAAGTTTTGTCATAATTTTGCTTGGAGAATTCATGTTGTTTTTTTTTAATTCCTAAAATTTGACACCCACTGTTTTTCCTAGTCTAGTTCATTCTTCTTCATTGTGGTCTTCAAGGTGACAGCTTCTTATGATTGCCTACCAGCCTGGCCATATTGCATAGGAATTCTGGGATTTAATGTCTAATCGCACTTCAAAGAGACATTACCTGAACTAGTTGATAGAAAGCTACCCGTATAATTTTACTTGTACAGAATGGCTTTTCTGAGTACAGAATGGCTGGGGAGAATTGGATAGAAATGCTGCAGTTTGCAAAGTGCAGAAATCTGTGCTGATATTCTTCAAGGTAGTGGTAGTGGGTGAATGAATTTCAGAGAGGCTATTTCTTGCCTGTGGGGAGAAAGTGTGGGTGTTTTGCACTTTGAAAGTGTTACACTTTGACTTCAGTGGTAATTATAATAAAGTGCTGATCCCAAAGCGTTCCTCTGATCTGGAGTTTTCCTTTAAATATGCTCCTGTTGCAACTCTTTGTGTAGGTCAGAAGGTGTGGCACCCTACATATATAATTACCTGCCAGAATTTATTCCATTCATAGGAGGAAGACACCTGTGCTACAGCCATGGTCCATCTAGAGAAATTTTGTGCAATTGAGGCTACAAAACCCCAGGGGGGAAATGTTGAGTTAGTAAATACTACGGTGACTAATACTGCTTTTCCCACAGTCACAATGTCCACCAAGAGGTTGTGTAATGAAGACTACAATGATTACAGTTCAACAGATGTGACTCCTGATGGCACTTTCCCAGATGGCTTGAACAATATTTCCAGTCCATCATCCTATCAACGATTTGGAGAAACAAATGGTACAACGTAAGTGATTTTATTCTTCATTAGAATCAGTCTGCATCTAAATGCATAGGTTAATTAATTCAACCTGAAGGGAAAAGCATGCAGGCATCATGCCAGGGCCCATTCAGATTACAGATAAAGAGCTAAAGCAGTGGTCATTCACAGATAAATTTACTAAATTTACTGGGGATACAGCATGCAGACTTGTACCCTGATTACGAATTATTTCATTATGAATTATGTAACATTTCAGATTTTTAAAGTCCATTTTCTTCTGGCCTCTGACTGCTTCAGATGGCTATGACTTGCCAGCTCCCCCATTTTAAAGATTGTCCATTATGAGTATTTTCCTGCCAAACATTCTGAACATGGAAATCTGCTCTTTGCTCAAGATGACACACAGAAATCCCCATAAAGTAATGGCCCATGTTCTCAGCCTGAGGTGTTTTTTTTAAAGTCCCTGATTTGGCATCTCTAATCTATATCAGTTAAGTACAAGAAAAGCTAAGATTTTGTAATCGAAAACAACTTTGCTTCTCGGACAAATTGTGACATTTTTAAACCTTTACATTGATTTAATTTGTATCTGTAACCTTATTAGTATGATATTATTTGAAAGCTTGTCTTGACATCTTTTCATGTTGTCAATTGAATTACTAGATCTGCTGAAGCTACAGAGCTACCTTACCCAAAATGTGAACATAGGATCAATTCTCTGTTAACAATTGATACAGCAGCTGCTTACTTTCTGTAAAATTGGTGTCTGGCTGCTGTCATGTATGTTGTAATTAATACAACATACTTATATAGGGCACTCCTACATCTCCAAAGACAGTGTAATCTTTCAGCTTCAGATTTTGTTTCTTTTGCCCTAATCCAGGGATGAAAATTTTCAGAACCACCAGATATTGCTGAACTTCAACACCTGATATCCTCTACTTTAGTTGTGCTTCCTGGGCTTCTAGAATTGTAGTTCTGCAATGTTTGGAACAGTAGAGGTTCTACATCCCTGAGGTTGAAGAAATAACCATGGGTTCTTTGAAGTACTTAATCTCTCTGTATTGTTTTTTTCCCCCCTTCAGATGGTACCAAACCTTAATACATCTCTTGAAAGGAAACGTTGGTACTGGCCTGTTAGGACTTCCGTTAGCAATCAAAAATTCTGGTATTGTGGTAAGAATTTTGCATTTGGTTTGTTTCAGTTGCTGGGGTCACATGGGTATTCTATTCTATGAGAAAAAAGACCTGTCTTGCAAGTTTCATTACATTATTTCTTACTTGTTTAAGCAAGAAATTTGTGTTGGCAGGTAAATTTTGTTCTGGAAAAAAACAAACAATCTCTTCTGATCCTCCTCTGAGCTATCATTGCTAAACTAACTGTCACTGTTGCAAAGTCTTGCAATATAATTTTTAGTAATTGACAGTTCACAAGCTTAATTTTTGGTAGCCCTGGATCCAGAGAAGAATAATCAAGATGCTAAAGGTGGAGTAAAGTATTACTTCCTTCAGTTACTGGTATTTTTTCTACAACTGCATCAACTAGGTTTATGGAAATGCTGCGGGATTTGCCACATATCTATTTTAAAAAGCCCTTGTTGTAACCAAGGAAGAAGAGAGGCAATAAGATGATTAATATTCCCCAAAAGAAATTTTATTATAATAAGTGGCCCCTTACCGCTTATAACAGCATACTAAAAAGCAGAGACATCACCCTGCCAACAAAAGTGTGTATAGTCAAGGCCATGGTTTTCCCAGTTGCAATGTATGGATGTGAAAGTTGGACCATAAGAAAGGCTGAGCGACAAAGAATTGAGGCTTTTGAACTATGGTGCTGGAGAAGACTCCTGCGAGTCCCTTGGACTGCAAGGCATTCAAACCAGTCAGTCCTAGAAGAGATCAACCCCGACTGCTCTTTAGAAGGCCAGATCCTGAAGTTGAAACTCAAGTACTTTGGCCACCTAATGAGAAGGAAGGACTCACTGGAGAAGGGCCTAATGCTGGGAAAGATTGAGGGCAATAGAAAAAGGGGATGACAGAGAATGAGGTGGCTGGATGGAGTCACTGAAGCAGTAGGCGTGAACTTAAATGGACTCCAGAAGATGGTAGAGGACAGGAAGACCTGGAGGAACGTTGTCCATGGGGTCGCGATGGGTCGGACACGACTTCGCAGTTAACAACAACAAACCGCTTATAAAATAATTACAGCATCCAGGATACATGCTACAACAGAGAAAACATATCATACGTTTGCTTGAATTGAAAAAAGAGGACTTCAGACACATATCTCTGTTCCATTTTCTAGCAATTTGAAAGGAGCCATGGCAAACATCTAAGCTAGAGTATTTTTAGTGTCCGTCTCATCTTGTTCCATTGATAACCATCTAACATTTGGGAAGTGCATGTTTGTACATCAGATAATATTCACTCAACTCAGCCTGAGTAATATATTTACTTTCTGTTCTTTGAAATAATTACCTAGGTTATTATGTAGGTTGTAATAGTGAAAAACATATCCTCAAGTATGTGGACATCCTGCACCCTAACATTTTATACATGCTCCATAAACTAAATATGACTCTGATTTGAGCATTAAAGCTCTCCCAGCAATTCAAAGTTCTTCAGAAATTGCCCTCAAGAGTTTTTAAACTATAATTAAACTAGGTTATATCAAAATAGTTCTAATGTCATGTATGTGGTATACAAAAGAACTGAATTAGCTACAGACACAATACTAATTATATTATTTTGACATCCTCAGCACAAGTGAATGTAGGTAACTGAAGAGAGCCAAGGAGATGGTTTTGAAGAAGCAAAGTAGAGACAACGATTGCAAAAGTATGCTTTAAGGCCAAGAAAAAGAGAAAACACAAGAACGAAGCCAGACCTGATGTGGAAGAGGACTTACTAGTTTTCTATTAGTCCTCCTCTTGATCCTTAGACTAATGTATAAAAGGAGAGAGTGGAAACCTCAGTCAGCTTTCAAGATTTTGTTATTGTGGCCTATATAAATAAAGTTAAGTTCCAGCCAGACTTGTAGAGTCTGTTTCCTGACTTATTCCACCTCAAAGGGCTAACATTATTCTTACTTTTCTCATGCTTTCTCTGTTTCTAAACATGTTTTTATAATAATAATATTAATATTAATAATAAATAATATTAGTACATCAGGATGGCAAAAATGCAAGCAAATCTCTTATGAAAAGGAGATGACACACTGACTATTCAAAAAAGTGAATGGCTTGTGTCAGCATGGAAATAAAGATTCAAAGTGAATAACAGGATCAAGAGGAAGTAGCTAAGAGAGAGGGAAAGCCACATAATTAACTAATATAGAGAGGTCTGCTTGAAAGAGGAAGAATCAAAACCAGTGAAACATCTCAATAAACTTCTGGAGGAGTGAGTGGATTATCAACATGATAAATAATAGAAAAATGGTAGAACAATTGTTTAAGAACCAGAAAATAAATTAAAAATAGAAGCATATTGCAGTATAACACAACCTTCTGGCACCTGAAAGACTATGTCTATTTATATAAATGTTTGGGGGCTCCACTATTCTTGAACAGATGCATAAAGAGGTATAGTGAATTATGGACATTTGTAGTTTTATGTATTTGATAGAGTAAATTATAGTTCATTTAAACTGATGCTGTAATCAACCTCTCTTTAAGGAGCTACAAGTTTCTTCATTGTCCATTGGATTTTGGTGTTTCTGTCATATTTATTAAAGATAGGTTTCAGGAAAAAATAAGCTCAAATTTTTTTTTCAAAGGAACTAATAGAGTATTAATAAGATTAACATAGTGAGTGCGAACTGCTTTTTTTGTAAAAAAAAAAAAAAAAGTGCCGGAACTCACACATGTCATACAACCCGCCTTGCCTACCCTACAAGGTTCCATCCAAAAAGGGTGCCGGAACTCCGTTCTGGGTGTTCTATGACAAAAAAAGCCCTGAGTGCGAATAGAAACTATGCTGAAGAAACAGTAGAAAGATGTTTCATATTTATCTAATTTACATTTCCTAGACTGACACACATTTGTTTTTTGATAGTTTATATTAAGCATTTCCCACAAAAGTATGCATTAATAAAAACTTAACACAAGGATGCTCTATGTTGAAAAAATTGGTTGTAAAGACATTTATATTAGTAAAAGTGTATAAAAAATTGTAATAAAAGAAATAATATATTTTTATATATACATTTTGTGTAACTTCTTTTAAAAGGTTAGAAATTGGAGAGAGGAAATTAAAAACTGAGAGAAATAAATTTAATTAATTCACCAAACCTTTGCAGGGTATAGTAGTATTAAATTAAACACATATCCACAAACAAATCAATGCATCTTCATACAGAATTCCTACTTTGTGATAAGCCAAACAGAGGTGTGTTTGTTTCTGGCTTAATATGCTACAAACAGCTGTCTAAATGTAGCTTATTCAGGAAGATATATTTAAGATACATTCATGGCCATATCCTAGGAGTCCCTAACCCCCAGTCCGTGGACCGGTACCGGGCCAGGGCATGCCAGCAACCGGTCCGCACAAACAAAGCTCCATCCATGGGATGCAGGCAGCACACAAAATCACGCACTCTCCGGTCCGTTGAAAAACCTTTCTCCATGGAACCGGTTCCTGCTGCCCAAAAGGTTGGGGACCTCTGCCATATGCAATCCAGGTAATAGTAGGATAATAGAACTTTCCAACTTTCCTTTTTTTTAAAGCATATTGGAGGGTTCTGTTGCTCATTCTGGTATGTAAGTATTCACCTATAGTGCTGAAGTTTGATATATAAGTATGCCTTCAGATCCAGCAGAGTTTAAATATAAGACAGGTTGACCTTGTTCCCTTTTCCTTGTTCTAATCTTAGAAGAATGTTCTCCACTTTAATTGTTCATTAAGTAGCTTCTTCCTGAGATTTAGAAATGTTGGCACGGATGCAAGCAAACAGATTTGGGGTGAGGAGGTGTTTCTTTCCAACAATTAGCAATCAATGGAAGGTGGCCCAGACCTTATCAGAAGAGAGATGCCTGGATTTTTAGCTTTTGTTGTTTGCATTTTGAAGAATTAATTTATGGCCACAATAATTAGGAAAAAGAGTGATTTTCTGTTGAATTTTGCCAGCAAAATCTTGGGAGATTCATGGGGCATAAAATAAACTTGTAAGGATTACAAATTAATGTAAGTTTGTCTATTAACCCCTCAAAATTTATAAATACTGTAATATGTATATGGTAGATGTACCAAAATTCAAAGATCAGATTATCCACTTCTGGTTCTTTTTTTCCCCTCTCCTTTTTTGAATGGTGACTGTTTCAAGACTGGCTGAAAACTGTTCTGTTTTACTAAAAGCCTGCATTTATCTTTTCAGTGGCAAAGAGTATGTTTTTAATTCTACTCTTCTTTCACTGTTTAGCTGGGTCCCATCTGCTTGCTTGTGATTGGAATCATCGCAGTACATTGCATGGACATCCTCGTTAAATGCACTCACCACCTGTGCCAGAAGTAAGAGGGAATTATGACAACTGCTATCCCTGGAAGAAAATGATGGTGGTTATAAAACAGCTGAAATAACAGACAAAAACTAGTTCTTTCGATAAAGAAAGCAAAATCTAGATCAGGGAATAAGAATTAGCTTGCGTTGAAGACATGGAATCAGTCATGTGGGGGGAAATTACACAATTCTATTATGCTTCATTAGCTGCTGAGACGGCTTCAGATTGTACACTGTGTTTTCTCAAATGCTACTAAAATGAATAAGCAAAAAATGATGCTTGAGCCACCCATTTAGAAGATGTACAGTTCATCTGTTTTCAGAGCTATCTCCATCCCTGGGCAAGCACAGAGGTTCATTGGTAGATGGCATGCAGAAATAAAGTAGATTTCTATTAACAAAACCTAGTGAAATTTGGTTTAGAAAGCCAAACTGGGTAATTTTACTTATGGAGATGGGCCCTTAGTCCCTGTCTCCGCCTCTTTTGGGGTTGGGTCGGGTCTTTAAATGATAATTGAACTGCCCAACAAGTCTCATGTTTTTTATGGTGCTCTTCTTTTCTCCTGAAGCCTCCTATGACGCTAGAATTACAATGACTCATTTTGGAGAACCTGTAATTAATTAAAGCTCAGTTGACCTTGATATTGAAACACTACTAGCACTGTATTGGATTATATTGTATCTAGATTATGAATCACCTAGCTGTAGACCTTATGTCACCTGCAGCCTTAACATGTGCTGCTCCAGAACCCTGCCCAAGTTTTCCTGGTGATCATTGAAACTACCAGAGTGCTGGTTTCCCGCTGCTTTCAATAGCTAGAAAGCAGCAGTCTCGTTGTTATGAGCTCTTCATCGGATTGATCAGCAGGCTTAAGTAAACATGTGCTTCCAGTTTTTCTGTAGGATAGTTGAAAAATAGACTAGATTGCTAATGGCAACAGTATTCCATATTGGTTTCTGAGAAGGAAGGAGGAACTCTTAATTGCTTCTTCCTTCTTCCCAGTGACCCAGTTCAGGAGTCTTGATTTCCTATTGCTACTGGTATTAGCAGTCATCGGAGAAAGGGTAGGCTAAACATCTAGAGCAGGCTGTCAAACTGCCGGCCTGTGGGCCGGTTGCATCATGCGGAGGCCAGGCCCACCCCAGCTCCGGCAATTGCGAAAAAAATCGCAGTACGTCGTGACATGTCACGTGACGCGGTGACTTTGACACCCGTGATCTAGAGCAATGCAACAATGCCCAAAATAGCTGTTTTGTTAGCCAGAGAAGCTACTACCAGGTTCCTGATTTTTTGCCCCCATAGATTAATGCATCTCTCTTCCTACAACAGCGGTTCTCAACCTATGGGTCGCGACCCCATTTGGGGTCGATCGACCATTTCACGGGGGTCGCCAAGCAAGGCTGTCCGCCATTTTTTTCCCCTTTTCCGGCGGGTGCCTTACCTCCCTTGGGCTGGGCCAGCTGGTGGTCGGCCTGCTCCGTCTCTGCCGCTTGCCAGCTACGCCTCGGCCGGCGCAGGATTTTAGGATTTAGGATTTATTTCATTTATACCCCGCCCTTCTCCCGGAGGACTCAGGGCGGCTTACAGCCAGTTAAAACAATTACACAAAATACAAATCTAAGATAAATTAAAAATAAATATTCGAAT